AGTCAGGGCTAGTTATAATTACCGTCACCACTAAGCTGGTCAGCGATTCAGTGTGGCATGTGGTTTACATGCTCAGTCTCGTTTAATTATCACTAATCTTTTGAGGGAACTACTATGATCCCATTCAAGAAAGGAGGGACCAGGCTGGGCGTGATGGCTCACGCCTGTAATCCCTGCACTTTGGGAGGCTGAGGCGGGAAGATTACAGGATCAGGAGTTCGAGACCAGCCTGGCCAACGTGGTGAAACCCTATGTCTGCTAAACACACAAAAATTAGCCGGGTGTGGTGATGGGTGCCTGTAGTCCCAGCTACTCAGGAATTGCTTGAACCCAGGAGATGGAGGTTGCAGTGAGCCGAGATCATGCTACTGCACTCTAGCCTGGGTGACAGTGAGACTCCATTTCAAAAAAAAAAGAAAGGAAAAAAAAAGGAGGGACCATCAGCTCGTAATCATACCTACCACACTGTGGTGGATGAGCTGATGGGTAAGAGTTTGCATGTGGGAGTGGTGTTTTCACTCACTCATTCACTCGTTCATTCATTCATTCATTTTGGAAATTGTAGTAAATTATACATAACATAAATTTACCATCTTCATCATTTTGAAGTATGCATTTCAGTAGTGGTAAGTACACTCATGTTGCTTTGCAACCAATCTCCAGAACTCTTTCATCTTGCAAAACGGAAACTCTGTACCCGTTAAATCACTCCACACCCCCACACCCTCCAGCCTGGCAACTACCTTGCTACTTTCTGTCTCTATGAATTTGATTATTCCAGGTATTTCATATAAGTGGAATCATACAGTATTTGTCTTTTTGTTACTGACTTATTTAGCTTAGTATAACGTCCTCAAGGTTTTTCTTTGTTTCTAGCATGTATCATAATTCATTTCCTTTTTAAGGCTGAATAATATTCCATGGTATGTACATAGCACATGTTGTTTATCCATTCATCTGTCAATGGCCATTTGTGTATTCCCACTTTTTGGCTATTGTGAACAATGCTACTATGAAGACAAGTGTATGAATATCTATTTGAGTCCCGACTTTTTTTTTTTTTTTTTTGGTTGGGGCGGGGGTTTGGCTTTTTTTACCCAGGCGGGAGTGCATTGGCGCGATCTCGGCTCACCACAACCTCCGCCTCCTGGGTTCAGGCAATTCTCCTGCCTCAGCCTCCTGAGTAGCTGGGATTACAGGCACACGCCACCATGCCCAGCTAATTTTTTGTATTTTTAGTAGAGACGGGGTTTCACCGTGTTGACCAGGATGGTCTCGATCTCTTGACCTCGTGATCCACCCGCCTCGGCCTCCCAAAGTGCTGGGATTACAAGCGTGAGCCACCGCGCCCGGCCGAGTCCCGACTTTTAATTTTTTTGGGTCTATCCCCAGTAGTGGCATTGCTGGATCATATGATGATCCTATGTTTAGTTTTTTGAGGAAGCTCTGTACTGTTTCCATAGCCACTGCACCATTTCACATTTCTACCATCAGTGCACAAGGATTCCAACTTCTCCACATCCTTCACAACACTTGTTATTTTATTTATTTATTTTTGAGACAGGGTCTCGCTCTGTCGCCAGGCTGGAGTGCAGTGGTATGATCTTGGCTCACTGCAATCTCTGCCTCCAGGGTTCAAACGATTCTCCTGCCTTGGCCTCCCAAGTAGCTGGGTCTACAGGCGTGCGCCACCACGCCTGGCTAATTTTTGTATTTTTAGTAGATATGGGGTTTCACCATGTTGACTAGGATAGTCTTGAACTCCTTGACCTCAAGTGATCCACCCGCCTCAGCCTCCCAAAGTGCTGGGATTACAGGCATGAGCCACCGTGTCCAGGATATTAATTTTTAATAGTAGCCATGCTAAAGGATATGAGATGGTATTTCATTGTGGTTTTCATTGCATTTCCCTAACGATTAGTGAAATTGAACATCTTTTCATATGCTTGTGGCCCATTCAATCATTCTTTTTTTTTGAGACCCAGTCTTGCTCTGTCACCCACACTGGAGTGCAATGGCGTGATCTCAGCTCGCTGAAACCTCTGCTTCCCAGGTTTAAACAATTCACCTGCCTCAGCCACCCAAGTAGCTGGGATGACAGGTGTGCACCACCACACCCAGCTAACTTTCATACATTCCGTAGTAATGGGGTTTTACCATGTTGGTCAGGCTGGTCTCAAACTCCTGACCTCAGGTGATCTACCCAACTTGGCCTCCCAAAGTGCTGGGATTACAGGCATGAGCTACTACACCTGGCCCATTCATTCATTCTTTCATTAGAAATACTTACTTAGCATTCAGTATGCAGTAGGCACTGTTCTAGGTGCCGGTCATAGTGTTGAACAGCCCAGATGCTCACATTCGTGTTGTGTGTTTGAGTTTTGCTGCCAGCATCCATCAGCTGTGAAATGATGACCCCTTTCTGTGCCTCGGTTTCCACATCTGGGTAATGGCTGCCATATATCAACTGCTATCAACTGAGCACTTAATTGTGTTCCAGGCAAAGTGCCAAATCTCCACCTGGACCCAGTCCATCATATCAGTCCCATGAGGTAGGTCCTGTTCTCTCCGTGTGTGTGTGTATGTGTGTGTTTTGGGACAGAGTCTTGCTCTGTTACCCAGGCTGGAGTGCAGTGGCTTGATCTTGACTCACTGCAACCTCCGCCTCCTGGGTTCAAGCGATTCTCCTGCCTCAGCCTCCTGAGTAGCTGGGACTACAGGCAGGCGCCACCACGCCCAGCTACTTTTTGTATTTTTAGTAGAAATGGAGTTTCACCCTGTTAGCCAAGATGGTCTCAATCTCTTGACCTCATGATCTGCCTGCCTTAGCCTCCTAAAGTGCTGGGATTACAGGCATAAGCCACCACACCCGGCTGTTCTCTGCATTTTATAGGTGGGGATACTGAAGCAAGTCGGCCTATGTAACACCAGCAAGGACACAGAAAAAGGAAGTGGTGGAGGCCAGCACTTTAGGAGGTCCAGGCAGGCAGATCACGTGAACTCAGGAGTTTGAGACCAGCCTGGGCAAACTGGGCAACATGGAGAAACCCTGTCTCTACAGCAAATGCAAAAATTATCTGGGCATGGTGGCATGAGCCTGTAGCCCTGGCTACTCGAAAGGCTGATGCAGGAGGATCACTTGAGTCCAGGAGCGGGAGGTGGCAGTGAGCTGAGATTGCACCACTGCACTCCAAACTGGGGCAACAGAAGGAGACCCTGTCTCAAAAAAAAAAAAAAAAAAAAAAAAAAAGACGCTCCGATATCTAACATTTGGCTGCCATAAGACATAAACCACACGATGTTTCATAGGACTCTTGGGAGCATCAGATGAGTTGGCCCACCTAGGAAGCACCCAACGCACGTTAGCCTGTGGCAGTATTACCGCCTTTGTATTTACTCTTCCCAGCTCCTCCTTCATCCCTATTCTTTCCCCTGCTTTCCTTTGCTGGCCACGGTCTGCCTCTGAGCTCCCCTTCTGCTATGCTTATATGCATTCATTCATTCTTCACTCAACCCTCATTTCTTTCTTTACTTTTTCCTTTTTGAGACGGAGTCTCACTCTGTCCCCCGGCTGGGGTACAGTGGTGCAATCTCGGCTCACTGCAACCTCCGCCTCCTTGGTTCAAGCGATCCTCCTGCCTCAGCCTCCCGAGTAGTTGGGATTACAGGTGCCTGTCACCACACCCAGCTAATTTTTGTATTTTTAGTAGAGATGGGGTTTCACCATTATTGTCCAGGCTGGCCTCAAACTCCGAACCTCAAGTGATCCATCCTCCTTGGCCTCCCAAAGTGTGGGGATTACAGGTGTGAGCCACCATACCTGGCCTCAACCTTAATTTCTCGTGGTCTCCCATGTGTCAGGCCTAGTGCCAAGAAATGCTGGCACACAGAGGAATCAGACTTCCATGCCCTACCCCCTCCAGGAACTCCCAGCTTGCCAAGGACAAAGAAGATCATCTATCAAGTAATGCATGTCCTACCGGGCACCTAAGAGCAGGAAACGGATCCAAGTTTGGTGGGAGGAATGAGTGCGTGTGTGTGTGTGTGTCTAGGGAAAGCTTCCTAAAGAGGGTGCCTCCTGAGCTGCCTGCTGCAGGTAAGTACTACATCAGCAAGGAATGTGAGCAGAATGTTCCACCACATGAGTAGAGGCCTGCAAAACTGGACAGAGCTGGGCAGTTGAGGAAACCGCATTTTTTATATATTTAATTTTTTCCCCAGCTTTGTGCTAGAGGTAGTAAAATATTAACTGTTCCCAAGGATGAGCAGATAGATGAGGATGGGCATCTTAGGAGGGGATGGAGATGAGACCCCTAGAGGCATACTCCATCCTCTCCACACACCTCTGCTTCCTTTAACCACTCCCTCTCTCCAGAAGGTTACAGGTTCCCTGCAGAAACAGACTGGAACTTCTCTCCCTCTCTCTACCCCCTGCCTCCCGCCGTCTCGCTACACGCAGGACTGGAGACTACAACTCCCATGATCCACTGCGGCTGCTCGTCCCACAACTGGACTCCAGACTTCACAGGGTCTCATGGGAAATGTAGTCCTCATTGTCTTCCGCATCCCTTTGTTTTTTTCCCACGCATTTCCAGACTTTTCGACGAATTTAGAGGTGGAACGGCGCCTTGTTATTGTTGAAGCCAACAATACCCTCTTTCTTACAGAGATGGGAGTCGAAGTCCAGAGTGCTGGAGCAACTGAGCCCAGCTTACAGGGCCAAGGTCCCGTGGCCTTGCTGTGAGTGCTGGAAAGATTGGACTTTGGGTTTTTTTTCTTGATTTTCTTCTTTTCTTTAACAGGCGGGGAAACTGAGACCCGAGAAGTTGAAAGTTTGTCCCATATCACGAGTCGGGCTCAGGAGCCAGGACTTGCGGTCTCCCAAGCAGCCCAGAGAGAGAAGGGGTTTGGGGGAAGGGCAGAGTCGGTTGTTCAGTGGGGTTGTCCAGCCCCCAACCCCGAAGTACCTGCCCCCACCACTGCCCTCCCCGCTCCTCCAGGGTTGAAAAGAGGCGTCTGCGTGAAGATCAATCATTTCCCGGAGGATACGGACTACGACCACGACAGCGCGGAGTATCTACTCCGTACGTGGGGGTCCGGGACAGACGTGGGGAGTGGGGAAATCGCGGGGCCTGGAGGGCGTCGGGGAGGGCGCCCGGAGAAGGGACTGGGACCCCGGCACTTGGATCGACACGCTGTGGTTTAGCTTCCCAGCCAATCCAAGTCCAGATGGTGAGATCCTCTGGTTCCCGATTGGCTGCGTGCTCTTGCTCCCGCCCCCTCCTCTCACCTTGGGGCGGGCTGAGGGAGGATCCTGGGCTCCGATTGGCTGCCTTGCTATCTCGGGCCCTCGCGGCGACTCTGCGCCGTGACTGGTTGTGGATTCCCGGGCTGGGATTGGCCGTGGGGCAATCTGCGGCGGGGACGGGCCACTCCCGGGAGCCGGCTGGGAAAGCCTGTGTTACCATTGGTAGCTACCCCGAGAACGCGGCAAATCCTAAATGATGATTGGCTGCGGCCTCAGCCAGGCTCCGAAATTGCAAAATCTGGTTGCCTGGGGTTTTAGGGGTGGGTGGAAAGGAAGGACTGCAGAGAAAGAGAGAAGCGGGGCGGGGGGAGACTGAGAGATTAGGGGAAGAAGGGAGGGAGGAAAAGAGGGAGAGAGACTCAGAGGAAGCCAGGCCTAAAGGGAGTGGGGAGGGAGGGAGTGGACAGAAGTGAAACCTGGAAGATAGAAGAAGCCTGGCAGAAAAGGAGGGGAGAGAGACCCAGGAAGATAGAAGAGACCAGGCAGAAAAAGGGACAGTGGGAGAGAACTAGGAAGACAGATGAGGCCAGGCAGAAAAAGGGGGGAGAGAGCTAGGAAGATAAGTGAGGCCAGGCAGAAAAAAAGAAGGGGGGCTAGGAAGACAGATGAGGCCAGGAAGATAAGAAGAGAGAGGGGAGACTGACCCAGAAAGACAGATGAAGCCAAGCAATAAAACGAGGGAGGGAACAGGGAGAGAAGGGAAGAGAAACTCAGAAATAGATTCAGCCTGGTAGAAAAGGGAGGAAGAGGGAGGAAGGAAGGTAGAGAGAGAGAAAAAAAACCAGACCGATGAAGCGTGGCAGAAAATGGGAGGGGGTGTGAAGAGAGGTAGTAAGTGATTTGCGGGATATGGAGAAAGAAATTCGCAGAAGAGAGGAAGGGAGGGACGAGAAAGAAAGAAAGGGAGAGGATTCATGGAGAAGTTTAGAGAAACCCCGGCAAAGTGATTAAAAGAGGGAGAAAAATATTTCTGGAGAGGGAAAAAACAGTCCGAAGTAGAAAGAAAAGGACAAAGAAAAAAAGGGAAAGGAAATCTGACCAAGAAATAGAGAAAATTTAAAAACAGGAGAGAGAATCAGGCAACAGTAAAATCAAACACACAGAACACGGCCGGAGAGGGAGGAGGACAAAACTGGCGGGAGGCGCCGCGAGATGGGGGGCCGGGAAGGGGGCGCAGGCGGCCGCCTCTGACCGCCCTGGCTCTCGCTCCTTTTCCTTTCTTTCCTCTCCCGCAGGGGTCGTCCGGGCCTCCAGCATCTTCCCCATCCTTAGCGCCATCCTGCTGCTGCTCGGGGGTGTGTGCGTGGCGGCCTCTCGCGTCTACAAGTCCAAGAGGAACATCATTCTGGGCGCAGGGATCCTGTTCGTGGCAGCAGGTGAGAGGCAGAGGGAGGGGGCGGCCGGGGCGGCCTACCTGTGCGCGCACGTGTGTGTGCAGGTGCGTGTGTGTGTGTGTGTGTGTGTGTGTGTACAAAGCCACCCTGCCCCGAGCACCCCCGGGGGCCCGGAGCCTTCCTAGGCGGTCCCCAAGCTCCATCGCCACCCGCTGGGTAGGGTGGGTGTAGTCTTCGCGACACCTTCGGAGGAGGGAACCAGCACTGACAGGTGTCTGGCACATAAGACGCCGAGGGATTAAGATCCTAAACCCGCCGTCCTGGAGACGGAAGGGGAGGAGCTGGGGGACGGGGTGGGACCTCCAGACAGAATTGGGCTCTAGAGGCTAGAGAGGCGGGGCTGGGCCTTGGAGGGCGGGCCCAGGAGAGGGAGAAAGTTATCTGGGCGTGCCCCTTAGGAAACCTTGGTGGATCCAAGAGTGGGGGCTGGTCCTGGGAAACCGTCCCCGGAAGTGGAAGCTAAAGGGGTTGGACCAGGGAGACTGAATAGGGCCCGTGCCCGTTGCCGTTTGGAGAAGGAGAGGCTAGAAAAGACGGGGCGCTGACTGGAAAAGGCAGAAGGGGAGGGGTTTTGTCCTTAAGGGCACAGAGAGTCAATCTGGCTGATTGAAGCCAGAGGCCGACCGAAGCCAGGCCGTATCTGCGACTGGCGGTCTCAAGAGTTAGGGCCTAGACGAGCAGAGACCTAGGACTGGAACACTCAAGAAGCACGACATGAAGGGGTAAGACCCCCTTTCTACCCTGCATGAGTAGCATTGGGAAATTCCAGTGGGCAGAGCTTTTTTGGAGAAGTAGAATACAGAGAAGGAGGGTTTTGCATATTTAAAGAGCAGGATGGCCGGGCGCGGTGGCGCAAACCTGTAATCCCAGCACTTTGGGAGGCCGTGGTGGACAGATTGCCTGAGGTCAGGAGTTCGAGACCAGCCTGGCCAACATGGTGAAACCCCGTCTCTACTAAAACTATAAAAAATTAGCCGGGCGTGGTGCCGCGCGCCTGTAATTCCAGCTGCTTGGGAAGCTGAGGCAGGAGAATCGCTTGAACCCGGGAGGCGGAAGTTGCAGTGAGTCGAGATCGCGCCATTGCACTCCAGCCTGGGCAACAAGAGCGAAACTCCATCTCAAAAAAAAAAAAAGAAGAAGAAGAAGAGCAGGTTATGCTTTGGGGATGGGTCTAGATCTGCAAAGTTTGGGGCTTGGAGGACCTGAAAGTCCGGAGTAGCGGTACCTGGGACCAGGGAGGGCCCTGGCCAAGAGCTGCATGGGGCGGGGTTTGGTAATCTGGAGGTGGGCCTAGAGTAGAAGGCGGGGCCTGCTTTATCAAGGGCAAATTTTTGACCAGCAGAGGAGGGCCTAGAATGGATACTCCCGCAGGAATTATATGATGAAGAGAGAGTTTAGGTAAGTGATAGGCAGGGCCTGGTCACAGCACGATGACATCATTAACAGAGTTCAAAGGAGCAGAGGGGCGGGGCTTGGGGAAAACCCAGGTTTATAACGTTAAGGGTGGCGTTAGACTAACTAGGTCAGGGCCTGGAAACTCATCTCATCAAAGGTGGGTTTTAGACCAGTCAGAGCAGGGCCTGGACTAGCTGCGGTGGATTACCACCAGCCAGGTGGGGTTTAGACCAGCAGAGGTGGAACCTCAGCTAGAGGAGTGGGGTTTATGCCAAGTGGGGGCAGCCCAGACCATCTGGGGGTGGGTCTTAGATCACGTAGGGCTGAGTTTAGACCAGCTTGGGCTGGGTTAGGCCAGCAGAGGTGGGGCCTGGGCTCTCCCGGGGCAGGACCTGGACCATCCAGGACCATGTCGGAACCATTCAGAGCAGGGCCTGGACCACCTGGGGGTGGAGTTTAGACCCTGAGATGGGACTTGAACCAGCCTGGGCCAGGACCACGTAGGATGCTGTCTGGACCATTTGGGGTCCTAGACCAGTTGCAGGTGGCGTTTAGATCAATGGGGGTGGAGGTGGGGTCCCAGACCAGCTGGGGCTTAGTTTAGACCAGCCAGGGCTGCGTTAGACCAGCACGGAGTTGGAGGGGGAGGTGGGGGAGGAAGTGGGGCGGAGCCGCTAGGCAATCGGAGGCAGGACCTGGACCATCCTGGGGTTTAGACCATGTGTGGGGGTGCTCAAGCCTATGGGGCAGGACCACCCATGATGCAGTCTGGACCATAGGCGGCCCTCCACCACCTGGGGGAGGGGGTTTAGATCAGCCGGGGCTGGGCTAGCTGGGACTGGGCCTGAGCCCTCTGAGTTGGAGCTTAACCGGCCGGGCCGCGCCTGGAGCGTTGGGCGGGGAGTTGCGTTCCCTACGGCAGGACTTGGTCAGCCGGATCCAGGACGAGGGTGTAGCCCACTTCTGGGGGGGACTACAAGCGCCGGGGGGAGGTGCCTGGGCCCGCTGGCGCCGGCTGACCCGGGCCGGGGGCGGGGCGGGGCCGGGCCGGGGGTGGCCTCGAGGCTCCCGTCTGACCGTCCCCGCCCAGGCCTGAGCAACATCATCGGCGTGATCGTGTACATCTCGGCCAACGCGGGCGAGCCGGGCCCGAAGCGCGACGAGGAGAAGAAAAGCCACTACTCGTACGGCTGGTCCTTCTACTTCGGCGGGCTGTCGTTCATCCTGGCCGAGGTCATCGGCGTGCTGGCCGTCAACATCTACATCGAGCGCAGCCGCGAGGCGCACTGCCAGTCTCGCTCGGACCTGCTCAAGGCCGGCGGGGGCGCGGGCGGCAGTGGCGGGAGCGGCCCCTCGGCCATCCTCCGTCTGCCCAGTTACCGCTTCCGCTACCGCCGCCGCTCCCGCTCTAGCTCCCGCTCCAGCGAGCCGTCGCCGTCGCGGGACGCGTCTCCCGGGGGCCCCGGGGG